AAAAAATCATATCAGCTCAGATGTAGGGGTGGGCAAAACAACCGAACCGGCATGGTACCGAACCGGACCGCTATGATACCGGACCGGAAAACGGGATTTCAAACGATTCTAAAAAATTTTGTCCCGAACCGGATCGGACCGATTCCAAACCATGCCATGACCGGTTCTCATAAAATGAGAACCGGTACCGGACCGAACCGAATTATAATTTTATTAATTTATATAATTTTATAATTATATATACATGTATACCATATTAACATTAATTACTTTGATTATTCATTTGCACTTTGCTAATTGCTAGTTAATCGCATCGGTAAAAATGAGTAGTATTATATGAAATTCATTAACTATGTTATTGCTAGTTATTTATGTTTTGTTTTATTATAGTTTATAAGAAATTCATTAACTATGTAATACTACGTACCTTTGTCCCAAAAAACTTTTCCATTTTCAAAACTTTGACCAATTATATTTTTTATTGAAAATTATTTATAATATAAAAATTATATGAAAATGTTCTTTGTTAAAAATACTTTCATAAAAGTATAAAATTTATAACTTCCATAATACACTATACTAATCAAAATTATGGTTCAAATTTTTTGAAATGACAAAGTTTTTTAGGACGAGTTGGACGGAGGTAGTATGAAAATTGATAATTGTGTGGATTTTTGGATGATGACTAAATTTGAATTTATCGAAAAAAGTGGCATTGTTTGGCATTGATATGACATGATACCGGACCGTTTGAAAATGGAACCGAATCAAACGGGTTTAGGTTTAAGACCGAACCGAACAGAACCGAACCTCCCACCCCTGCTCAGATGCGTGACTGTATCATCTCATCGAAGGATCGTTGCTACAGAACCTTCGGTGTTTCTTTCTATTTTACTCCAATGTTTCACGTACTACGGGATGTACAGCAGGAAGAAGAGTGTAAATTAATCAATTCAATTCAATTCAATGATGGCAAAGAGATTTGAAGGTAACGAGTTCAGGCTACTGCTCTCGTGCCCCTCCGGTATTTCCCCTTCTCAGGTATATGGCATAATTTTCAACGATCTGCATTTCTATTTTTGTTTGACGAATTTTTCATTCTGCTGATTTTGAACAAATGAAGATGTCCGTGGCTTTTGAACCATTATACGATAGGACTCCGCATCGAGATCATTCACTGGAGAGCTCCATTTCAGAGGTTATATTACCATTTCATCGTTTCTGATCTATTTACCTTTATGAACCGGACATAGTTGTGCTGTATATTTTGTGAATATTCATCAATGTGGTATTACGAGGATAAAAAATTAGCTCGAACTACTTTCTGAACAAATGAACAATGTTATACCTTCTTTCTTAGCTTGTTTTGTTTAGTATTCATTTGTTGTGTTTATACTTATATATACATAAGTTCTTTATTGCTTATATTGAGCATTTGAATCAAATATTACAAAAATTGAACAAAAAAATCATCAACTTTACTGTCTTTACAGCATTATACGAGTATGACCACTGAGATGGGACGGATAAAGTAATTTTCATCCCACAAGTTTTTATATCATGATTGCCATGCTTTTTTCAAAAATTGTAAGACAACTGGTTTATCTAATTAAGTGCGGAAAATAGATCGTTTGTTTTATTTGTCTCATGCTAAACACTGTTCCTTGATCTTCTTTTTCAATAATCACACAGATAGTATATGTCATATTGAGGTAATGTCGTGCCTGTTCTTGGTTGTTTTTATATTTGGTTAGGTATGGGACCAAAGAGTTCAGCAAAGCCCATCGTTGTTTAATGGTCTAAAGTTCAGGGTATGCAGCTACTGGCTTCTATGGTTTGTAAATTGTAGATATTGCAGTTTAGGGAACACATTTAATTTGGTTTATCAATTCTCTGGTGTGTAACATTTTTCCAAAAAACTATGAATGTCATATAGTAGGTCTGCTTTTTAATTTTGCAAATGCAATTTCCTCTTGGAGAACAGCAGTGGTATAGGCTAAAAGACTTTGATATCCTGAATTGAGAGCCTTAGATTTTGTTGGATTGTTTCATATCAGAACGTTTCCATTAATGGATTGGGAACCATAGATTTCTTTTGAAAAGTACTTATTCTTTCAGTATGGAGGACACACTTTCAGTTCTGTCAGTGATTCTCAGCAAGAGCCCCATGTTTGCCTTCATCTTGGTCTGACGGATTATAGGTTCTAAATGTCTCTGCCCTCTATTTATTCGCAGAAAGCCTATAATGGATATTCTTTCTTGTTTATTTCGAGAAGAGTAACAAGGGATTAGGCCTCATTATATTCATGTCCAATTGGATGTTCTTTTACATTTAAGAGTTATTGAAATCATGCAACTTTTCTTTTGCCCCTCTGGTCAACATAAGAAACCATGAAAGAGGTTATCTTCTTACTAAGTATAACCTTATCTATGCAGGACATTTGTGGGCACCAACTTAAGTCCGTTGTGGGAAAATTTTCTTGTTCAATCTGAAGGTAAAACTGAAATGTAAAACATTTTTTTGTATTCTTCTGAAATGTAAAAGCTACTATCTTTGTCCCCAAAAAGAGGGACGGAGGTAGTATTATATTATCATAAAATACTGATATGTTCTAAAGACAACTCCTTTCTTCATTTTAGATGATTGTTGGCAGTGTCAGCACACATCGAGTCCTCTAGGAAATGGAGCAGTTGTTGAGACGTCTGACAAAAAGATACTTGTGCTTAGAAGAAGTAATAATGTGGGAGAATTTCCAGGATATTTTGTTTTCCCAGGTGGCCACCCAGAGGTATATGAAATCCTTTTGTGCCATGAATAACTAGTTTTGGAAATCTTTAGATTCTCAGTCGTACAAGCATGTTCTATTTTTTAACATTCAAGTATAGCATGGCATGTTCTCTACGGTGTAATGCTTTATATACTTGGAAATCGTTGATTGCACACTAAATACTAACTGAAATGCTCCTATGTGCATTAGCTAGCTGCACTCTATATATTTATCTATGTTTGTCGAATCATTAAATGAAATTTGCTACTTAATAGCCCAATGAGGTTGGAGTGACATGCCATAAGAGTGGCACAGAACTGAATCCCAGTGAGATAATAAACAGAAAAGTTTCTCAAGAAATGTTTGATAGCATTGTCCGTGAGGTCGTTGAAGAAACTGGAGTTCCTGCGGCTAATCTAGTATGTAGAACATCTCTTTTTTTTCTTGTTTTTTTTAATTTCGTTCCTGATTTTTTTTGTTTTTTTAAAAAATGCAGTCCGCTCCAATATTTATTGGCGTATCACAGAGGCTGATGAATGTTCGACCAACTGCTTTTTTCTTCATAAAATGCAACCTTCAGGCGAAGGAAATTCAGAATCTGTACAGCGATGCGGAAGATAGTTTTGAATCGACCCAGCTGCTGATGGTTTCAATGGTAAGTTTGTTTTCCTATGTGTTGTTTCGTCATACATCTCAAGCTTACTCTGATTGTCATATCTCTAAAGTAGTATTTTTTCATTTAATGACTTTTGTTTTTTCATGGACTAATCAGAGTAATTTGGAGAGTATGGAATATAAAATGCCAGGCTGCCATAGAGGAGGGCTCGAACTGTACAAATTAATGTACAAACCATGAGAGAAGAACCACAGATTCATTTTCTGTAATGCAGGTGCCCAGGATCTTTAGCCCGGGTAGTCTTTTGAGTCTGAAGTTAATGATCCGGTAAACCTCTGTTGACTTCCTTAGAGGATTCAAAGTAATGACTTATGAGAACTTATTATTCATGTGTTCGGAATTAGTTGAAGATCTCCAGAAGGTTACCACATTCACTTGAACTGGTTTGTTAGAATGCCTACCTTGAAGGCAATTGTAACTGTAACAAAGACACATAGGTACTGAAATAAGCTTTATTTCTTTGGTCATTTTTATGTAGCTTGAAACCCCTTACCTGGGAGTATTTATCTAAAAAAATACGATAAATAATCACAAAAGATACATTTGTTTGGACCGTTTGGTCTATATACATATATCAGTGCCTATGTGCCTTTTATGAATTCTAACCACGCCAGTTCAGCAATTCAATTTTTGTTTTATTAATAATCATATGGCTTTTCTACTTGAATGGTCTTGCGTTCTCAACAGGTCTAACATGAATTGATAACTATGTCTTCAAGCCGGTTTGGTTGGCATAACGCTGATGAGCATTAATAGTTGAAACATTGCTAAGACCAAAATAAATATCTTTCAATTTACTTATTTGGTTGAAAATAGAATTTGATGAAATTCAATAGATTCGACTATTTTAACCAAATAACTTACCAAAAAGTTGTGTGCGGTATTGGTTTGTACTTTGTACAAGGGAATGCCTAACAATTACATACTCCATATGTTCCAATTTTGTAATATACACTTTTTTAGTTCAAAAATGTGAAAGCTTTTCTAAATTGAATACCACTAACTTTTTTACTCTTAATTTCTTTATCAATCATTTAAAACTGTGTCTAAACTCAAATGCAACTTGCATTTACGTTTAGGAACGGAGGAGCATATATCGTAGAACGGTAGAAGTCTATTAATGAGTTAATCCCATAAAGAGTCATGTATCATAAGATCGGTGCTAATTTTTCATACACAAGTATAAATGTATAATATATTCTATAATAAATTTGGAAAAATTCTAAAATAGGAGTAAAAATATGCAAAATTAAAAAAAGTTTCATCCTCCCCTAAATGGGAGTATGTACTCGGAAGTGTTATTGTAAACATGTACACCAAAAAATACATGACCTCGAATGTTTTCTTTTGGACTAATATTTGCATAAATGTCTGATCTCTGTGTGTTTTATAACTATGGAAGTCTGGTCTAATCTGTTTAAGTCTGATATTATTTGGTTTGGTCTTGTCTGTTTAAGTCTGCTTTGACCTGGGATTGAAAAGAGTTCAAAAGAAAACATGCAACTTTGCAAGTTGACAACCTTGAAGCATCCCATCAAAGTTCACACGTTTAATAGGAGAAATTTACTTTTTTTAATCCTGTGGTGAACCGTTACCCAAAGGTAAACGGGGTGAGAGCCAAGGAACACCTCGCCTATTTATCGAAAATAAAACACACAAGAGTAGGTGGAGTATACCGAAGCTACTCTGAATTAAAATACATAAGGATAGCTAATTGCATCAAATTTAAGGATAGCAACAAAATGATTGACATGAAGAGTTTAATCAAAGTATTTCGGTAAGCTAGAAATTCGGCAACCTTATTAATTTCAGGCCGTATGAGAGTTATCGTCCAATTGTACTCCTTGAGCTTTTTCGGGATTGTGTGAACTCTCGACGAGCTATTCTAGTGTTGCAATGAGAGAGCCGTAATTCCTTCAAAGACATCCTATCATCAACCTCAATAGGAGAAATTTATTATCTGTCAATCTCCATGCCAAAACTACAAAGCCATTTCCATTGTCAACATTCACTTCAAGTCTTCAACCCAACCTTTTTTGGGAAATTCTAAGCCAAACCCTCCTTTTAAGTGCCCTACTACCTGTTTGGATTTACACCCCCGCATTAATGTATTATTAGGTAGTATTTATTTCCTCAAGACCTCACCAGAGGATAATCTCTTCCTCATGCACCACAACATAATTGGAAACAACACATCATGTTAATCCCTTTAGTTTCAATCATTTGCTGAAAGATTATGACAAAAACAATCAGCATCTCCCCATTTGAAGAAAAATTTGAAACTAAGAGGGTCAATCTTTTATTGAATGGCTTTGCCATACTACAATAATCTCTCTAAACTTGTGACACATTTTCTTCATTGAAAAACCAACCTGGTGTTTGTTATCACCTCTCCTACATTTTTCCCGACTCTCTTGATATCTTCATTAGTTCGGTTTGGAACTTGGGAAATGATACGACTAGGGAACGCTAATAGAGGAACTTGGAAGGAAAGAGGAATAATATAACATTTGTCCAAAGTGATTTTATTTATCCATTTATTTCATATAGAAAAGAAATAATCTAAATCTATGTAAAATGATTAAAAATATCAATCATCATATCTAATTCTCCATGGTAAAGCAAAACACAATGAAATAAGTTTCCTTTGGCATTTTGCATGTCCTTCCACTTCAAAATTTTATTCCATAAATTCATTGTTTCCTCATCTTTCACACCACAACTCATAAGCCAAGGAAATCAAAAAAGAAATGTCGATCCTGGGGGCATCGGAGATGCGGTGCATTTTTGTAATAAACGGTTACCTAGTTTAGTCAAGTACAACTAAATAGTCATTACATTTCTTATATAGAGTTCTCTCCTCCATGTAGTCACTATAAATTCAATAAAAGAATGAAATATATAGATGGTTACAACATGGGAATATATAATACTACCATTTATCCTTGATGACTATGAGCTGCATTATTCATCCTTACATTTTATTAATAAATAATAATTTCAGTGGAAATAATAATAATAACAAAGGAACATATAAAGTTAGAAGAAAAGAATGTCATCCTATATGTACACATCTCTCTAAATTTGAAAAGATGGTAGAACATACCATCAACCTGGATAATCACAAAGAGCTATCTGTAACTGATGAGAATCAACCACATACTGATTAATGAAAGCCCTTCTCCACCACACTTCAAATGCTTTCTGCATATTTGGGCAATCGTCCCCTTGGTTAAGAAACCGTTCGAACCAGCTAAGCATGATTTCTTGTTGTTGGGGCAACGGAAGAGTAAGGACCGTTTGGCTCAGCCCGTCCTCAACCTCCTTTTTATCAATTGATCTACCCGCTCTCCTCATCCATCCAAAATCCTCATAAAGTGCTTCCAACCATGTCACTAGCAACTCGTGTCGTGCACCTTTGGGCACCAGAATATTACCTCTACCTATTGCCACACAAAGTTGTGATGTGATCCTGCTGATGTCATGCCGGTACATGGTTGGTGTTTTTGAATGAAGAGAAGCAAGCTCCTTTTGATCCGCCCATAAAATTACAAATTCATCCCCCATCTTTCTCTCAATTAGGATATCAGCCACCCAATGAACATTGTCTGCCTCTCTAGCAATCCTGCCCATTATGGCTCCCCGGTCCTTCATATTCTCATCTACACTTAATGCTTCAGACAGGGAAATTAGCAGAGAATTAAGGCATTCATGACAAATATGATACAGAATCTCTTGAGGAACATCAGTGGAATCATCTTTAAGAAGCCTAGAAATCATTGTTTTCATCTCTTTACGGGCTTTGTCATCCTTAGCCTGTAAAACACTAGCAAAAAGCTTCAAAAAGACTTCATCAGTGCCCACTGGAGAGGAAGTTGAAGGATTAGAAACTGCTATTCTCTGAAGTACATCTTCAGATGCTGAATCAGAGAGGTGAAGTTCATTCAGAAGTGTGACTACTTTGTCCTCTTCTTCTGCACGCCATGGAACTGCCTCCAGATACTCCAAACAAGCCCTTATTCCATCATCAAACGCAATAGCCGAACACACCTACACGCAAATACTATCTATATTTAGATATATCATTCACTTAGGTACATGAGTTGTCCTATAATATTACATAAACAGCCACTGAAAATATAACCATGGTCATTGCACTGTAAAAACCAACATCATCAGAGTCACTGAAGATAATGCCATGGTCAGTTGGTCACTGCATGTTAAAGATACATTTTTTGTCCATAATAAAACATATGGACGTGACTAAGTTACACTGAGTATATCATTAAGATCACTATAATAGTATAATGTAAATCAGAATGTAATCTTGTTCACTAAGATTACTATTATAATCACTAATCATTATATTATACAAAGTCACATTTTTGTCCATTACCTTCATCTTTGTCATATATTTGTCATTGTTCTTTTAATCTGTACCATGTAATACGAGTAATAATCAATCAAAAATAAAAAAGATCCAAGCAGCAATGCAAACAATAATTTAATTCTTCAAGTGGAGCAATTATTCAGAATGTCAGATAAATGACTAGGTTATTAGCAGAAACAGTTCTACTGTTATAATTATAATAACTATAGTTATAAGAATAATTATAATTACTACATACTCCGTATTATTCTTATGGTATTCGCTTCCTATCCAAATCTGGAAGAGGCAATTAATAACTAACTAAATAATAATAATTAGCTTAAAAGAAATTAAAAATCTGTATTAAAGACAATACCTTTAGCAGACCCAAGACTTTAGAGACCCCCTCACCAATCATTTTCTTCTTCAAGTCCTCACAATACATGAGAACGACAGTCTCCACATACACTTCGACATCATCGCAGTCCAGGATCTCCACCGAGTGGGACCCATCCTGCCGAAGGTTCTCCGCGAAGAACCTGCTCCGCGCGACCAGAACCCTCCGATGAACGTCCATGGAAACCTTGGGACCGCCGTCACGCGCCGCCACAGTCAGATTGACATCGCCGGGGCCATAGCGGTTAGCGCTGGTAGGGCTTTGGAAAGGCGCATGGGCCAGAACCCGGGAGATTCGCTCTTGGGCACGGTGGCAAGCCTCCGGCGATTGTCTGAAGCTAGGAGGCTGCTCCTTGGCCATCATTTCGAAGAGGGTCGGGCTTTGATTGGGCGGCGGAGGTGAGAGAGTGGCGGCGGCGGCGGCGGCGAGTTTAGACGGAGGAGATGGAGATGAGAGGAAAGGATGGTGGTATATGAAGCCTTGCCTTATCATAGTGGAGACTAATTGATCGTTCTTCATCAATTTGTTATCAGACGCCATTGTGTGGGAGTTAAAGCGGCTTCTCTCCAACAGATCCGTAAAAGTGTGTGTGGACGGTAGTCAAAGATATGTAAGCAAACATTCAATGCAGAAAGAAGTCCAGCTCCTATATCATAGATCCCCTTTACCTATACATTGCATTTTTGTAATTTTGTTCAACGGTGATTCTTTTAATTCCTTACTTATTTTGTTGTTTATCCATTACCTTTGGACTTCTGGCAAAATGACCGGCCCACCTAAGCAATGTAAGCCACCAGTAAACTTCAAACGGCAAATCAATTTTACGGGTGATGTTTGCTTATTTTATATTTTGACCTCTTGCAACTTTTTTATTTTCGTGTCAGTTTTTTACAAGATTTTTTTCATGCAATTGAATAAAATATGTACTTTTCTCACTCTTCTATTAAAAGCTCTAACTTTGTAAATAAATATGAGTATATTATTTAAATTAGACATGCATTGATATAATTTAAAAAATAAGCACAATAAATTATGTATTCTCATTTAATATTTGAGCATACTAGAGATTTTAAATGAGTTTTTCAAATTTTTTATGTTTATTTCGTAACTATGTAGTCTCATTTTATATTGTTGTAGTATTCATTTTAAAATGTCATACGCATGCTGCAGAGATTCTAAATGACGAAGTTAATGTTCTGTATAGACTAGATTCAGGTAATATTGAGCTGGCAGATCAATCCAACCATTACGACTTCGCTCTCACATACTAAATGAGAATAACTCTTAAACAAAATGAACATATACAGATGAGCATTTGAACACACTAGCGATTTCCGAATGACGTTTTTTTAGTTTTTTATACTCACTTTGTAAGTTATGTATGTTCATTTGGTATTGATATTATGCTGATTTTAAAATGTCATATAAAAATTCATGTTTCAAAAGTATCAAGATGCTCAATATTAGACTTTTAATACTCAACAGAATAAGTGTAATGCTCAGTAAAAGATCATTATTGCTCACTTGACAGAAACCACTTTTTCAATAGAAGAGGTTTTTATTGCTCAACAGAAGATGTTTGATGCTCAACGAAAATGTCGTAATGTTCAACTAACAAACCTTATGATTTTCATATCAATACGCATTTTGCAAGTTACGTATGCTCATCTGGTACTGATCTTATGCTCATTTTGTAAATGTCATATGAATGTCATATTATGCGCATATAATAAATTTTTATTAAAGAAAAAATAACAAAAAGAAAATGAATTAGAAGTTACGAAGTAGAGATCACGATTTTGAATACTAGACTCATAATACTCAACATAATAGGTCTGATCCTCATTAAAAGTTCATTAATGCTCATTCACCAAAAATCGTGATTTTCATGTCAATAGCGTAAGTTTGTTGCTCAATGACAATTTCGTGATGTTCAACTAACAAACCTTACGATTTTCATATCAATGTGCATTTCTGTTAAATGAGCATTGATGAACTTTTACTGAGCATCAGACCAATCTTGTTGAGTATTAGCAGTCTGATATCGAGTATCGTGATCTCTGCTTCATATCTTATATATACTTCAATTTCTTTCTTATTTTTAACTTTCCAAAATATTATTAAATTATATCTATCGTCAACTCCTATGAAACTTCAATATGTGAATATAATGTAATATGGTACTTTTGTAATATGAATTGATATATCATTTTAAAATGAGCATAAAACCAGTATCAAATGAGTATACATAAATACCAAATGAGCAATAATATGAAAATCACTTTATTAGTTGAGCATCAAGACGTTTTCATTTAACATCAAACATCTTCTATTGAGTATCAGAAACATGCAATTTAGTATCATGATCTATGCCCCCGTGTGAATCTAAAATGATACTTTTGAAATATGACATTTTAAAATGAACATAAAACCTGTACCAGATGAACGTACATGACTTACAAAATGAGTATAAAAAATTCAAAAGATCGTTTGAATTCTCTAATGTGTTTAAAATGTTCATTTGTGCACGTGTATCATAAAGACAAATATAATAATGACGAATATAACAATTTTATATTAAAAATAATTTATAGTCTTTCATTCTGGAATTACAAATATAACCGGGTTCTTTTAAAATGTTTATCCATGCATATTTATTTTACACCATACTCATTTTAGTATAACACAAAACTCATGTTAGTGATTAGCACATACTTTGTAATATTTAATAAACTAATAAATATTCATCTTAAATTAAACATAGAAAAACAAAAAAATAATACTTTGAATATTCATCAGATTTTTTTTTGAAGAAATATTCATTTTTTTATTTGGAAGAAATATTCATTAGAAATTGAAAATTTTAAATCAATAAACAAGTTAGTTAATAAAAAAGGAAAAAGAAATAAAAACAAATCAACATACAAAGCAAAAGAAGAGTCACATACTCCACTTACGACGAAGTTGGCCGGGTAAAGACATCATATGTACGTAGTTTACTTACACAAGGAAGGACAGAAGAATTAAATTGCCATTGAAATGAGAAAGAATTTCAAAAATACCTGGATGTACTTGTACACCCGAATGTACGGTATAGTTTACCAAAGAAGTCATGTGTTGACAGGACAACGGGAAAGTGATTTAATACAAAATTATTTAAAATATGAAAATTATTTCAAAATTATTTCAAAATATTTTATAGAAATATAAAATTTATAAATTATATAAAAATATAATAATAAAAATCATTGTTCAAATTTTATCACTATTGATCAAGAAAAGTCAATATGAAAAACCTTTCGGAACGAAGATAGTATTTTAAATATATAAAAGGCAATTATCTACATACTTCGTAGGATTATTTTAGTAAGAAATACTCCATCTGTCCCTACTTAAAATTGTCATTTTGTTTTATACACAGTTTAATAAAGTAGCATTGTTTGACACTATTTGGATACAGTTTGCACTGTTTTACATTATTTTGTTTACCAAATAAGGAAAAGAGACTTTTTTAGGGACGAATCGAAAAGGAAAGTGAAATGTTTATTTAGGGACGGAGGAAGTAAAAGACTATTATAGTAACTGTTAGAGGCCCGTTTAGTAACACTTAAATTGGTTGAGACATCTGAATCTATTTAAATTCATGAAGTTCCGATTGAAGTGGCTGGATTGGTTGATTCTACTTATTTATTACAAAAAGTATATTCAAAATGTTTTTATTACAAAAAAATAAAAACAATTATACTCCCTCCGTCCCCAAAACAACTTCACACTTCGTTTTGCACACATATTAAGGCAATAAACTTATTGGGGGATAAATTTTACTGTTTGGACACTGTTTGGACACTGTTTAGCTCTGTTTGACACTGTTTGGCACTGTTTTGATGTAGATAATTTGCTAAATAAGGAAGTTGGAAGAAGTGTGAAGTTAATTTTGGGACATCCATTTAAGGAAAGTGGGAAGTTGTTTTTGGGACGGAGGGAGTATGAAAAATAGTTAAAATATTACTCTAAAGTAATTTCAGCCAATACTGCCAGAAAAGTAACTTTAACCTTACTTTTTCTTATGATCACACAAGTCATCGAAATCAAAAGTTATGTGTTTGGTGAAAAAATTGACTAATAAACTTCATAAGCCAAATAGTGAGGTCACCAAACGGGCTCTTGGATGTTTTTACTTTGATTGAGATTTTCTGATTTGGTCAAATTTGGTCTGAACTGGTCTGGTCTGAAAGATGTCTAATCTCTATGTATTTTATAATTGCAAAAGTCCGGTCTGATCTGACCTGACCTGATTTGATCTTGTCTGGATTGGGACTGAAATAAGTTCAATTAAAAACATCCTTGGTCATACTTTTGTAAAAAAGTTTGACTTCAGTAATATTCTACCAAAAAAATTAGAGTACCTAAATAGGAGTATCCAAAAAAAGTACCTAAATAGGAATTAATAAAAGAAAATTTGCAAAATGATGCAAATTATACCGTGAGCCCGTTATATCATGTACATGGTATATTGGTTCCAAATACGGCACTTTTCTTTTTCTTCTTCATTGTATTATCGGCGATTTCTTTCTTTTTTTTTCAATTATGTGATTTCTTCTCTATTTAGTTTTTCCTCAATTTTTTCTCCTTCTCCATCATAATATTAAAAATTTAACCGTATTTTTGCTTTTCTTTATCTTTAACAAATTAAATTACAACTGAATTTACTTTTTTTCCTTACCAATTCATTACAAAATATTATTAATCCACAATAAATAAGTACTCCGTACTATTTTTGTATAATATTTTTTATATCCATACACATTTTTCTGTAATATTTTGTTATATTCATACACTCATTTGTGTAATTATTTTATCTCTTTTACATGTTTTAGTGGGCTTTTAAGACATTGAGTTTGTTTATTTTGATTTACAATTGATACTAGATGAGATTACATTTTCATACATGTGATTTACAATTTCATACTATCGTATATGTGAGTTACATTTATACACGACCTTTGAAGTTTTTTTTTTGAAGAAAACTAGACTTATATTAAAATATCAAATGAATCAAGAGTTACAATCAACTAATAGCTCCAAATCCACCACCTATCTGTCAACAAACTACAACTCAAGAACGTCCTACTAGCAAACTCTTAGACGGCCCTCCGGAGAAGCAACACGAATCGTTGATCACCAAATGGGAAACACAAACTTCTTATAGGCCTTTAAGGTCACCGTACTCTTCATTACTTCACTAGACCAATAAAAATTAAATGATCTTCTTCGTCTTTGATCAGACATAGAAAAGTTTACCTAAAATTGAGCGAAGCTTTTCCCTAAACTAATGAGAGTTTTGAGACAATTACCTTTGATCATGGCTAAATTAGAATCTCAAAACTATAACGAACACAAACAATCCAAGAATCAGATAAATTTTCCAATGAAAGAAAGATAAAACTTGAAATAAAAATAAAGCAAACTCGAATTTTCTTTTTCCAAATCGCCATAGGCATAAGTTCACTCCATGGCAGTGATTTAGGAGGAGTTTGGGCCATCAGTACCGCCGTTTGAACATTGAACACAACTCTCGTTGTATCGCTTGCTTCACCTTCCTCTATAATGTGTGGCCATCTGAAATGTTGAAAAGTGCTTGTTTGAGGTTCAATAATTCCTCGGTTTGTAT